AAGTACAAACAATTTCAGTAACTTATCACCTTCTCTAACATTTCAACCAAAAATCTCTTCATCCCGTATCTCATCTTTTATCTGTTAGCAAATAATAAAGCCTCATAATTCAATCTTAATCAGCAAAAGTCCATTAAGAGTTACCAGAAATAACAATATGTATATTTTAACTTTAAACAAATAAATTGATTTCATATTCTTTTACTTTACTTTACACAGTAAATTTATCATTTTCTTTAAAATACAACAAAAAGAATCTCTTCTTCCCATATCTTATCTATAAACAAATATTTAATGCCCCATCATTCAAACTTAATCAAGAAAAATTCCATTTAGAGTTGCCAGAAACACCAGTGCATCTTGATCTTTAATACCTTCAAATAATGTCCCACAAATTAATTTCTTATCATTTTCTCCTTTGCAAGTTTAACATTTTCCTTCAGTTTTAAAACCATAGCTTATCACTTTCTCTAAAAAATACAGCAAAAAAAATTTCTCCTTCCCATATCTTATCTATTGACAAATCTTTAAAGCCTCCTCATTCAGCCCTGGTTAAGGAAAAAAACCATTAAAAGCTACTAAAAAAAAAATCATATATTTTAACCTTGATGAAATAAGCCAACTTTATAATCCTTCTTTTTGCTTTTAAAAGTCTTGATGTTTATTTATTTAAGTAGGGCCCCAAAAGCTGATTTCTTTTTCATCCATTCTTTATTTTTTCTCAGGAACTCCTTCGTAAGTATAACACATCTCCTTTGTAGGTCCAAAATAAGAAAGTTGTCCAAGTCACTCTTCTGAGTTGAAATCCACGTATCTAGGTCACTCTTCTGATTTATTATTTGTGTGTCCCTATTAAAACATCAGCTGGTTTCATTTGTAAGTGCTGTGTAACATCTTTGTCAATATTATTCTTGTAGCCTGTCATTTTTAAATCCCTAACCAAAACAGCCTGATTCTCAGTTGTATCCTCTTCTGTCTCCTCTTTTAAACCCATTTTTATAGTAGCAGACAAACTTAAGTGAAAGTTCTGAGTGCATTGTTGCCAAATATCCTTGAATGCTTCCATAATTAAAATACTTTTCTCCATTCTATATTAGTGGGTCTTCTCCTTTAATTATAATCTTTAGTTCTTTCTGGTTGCCTTTAAGGTCTCATCTTACCATTTTTTTTCTAATCCACAACATTCCCATGGAAAGCTTTCTTACGCTTAGATTCAAAATCTTCATATATTTTAATAGGATTTTAAACAAATCACAGGGAAGGATTCTTATAATTAATTTCAAAAACTTATTTCCAGTTAATCAAGCCCCTTAGTCCATTTATACCTTTCCAAAATCAACGTTCTAATCACCCTTTTGCTGCTTATTTCCAAATAAAATTTTTTTCTTTAAGTTCTTAAACTTACATGAAACTTCTTTCGCTGAGGATTTGAAGGAGAATCACCCAGTGTAATGAAACTTGTCTTTCTGAAGGTTTTTAATATCCAAAAAACAATTTACAAGCCATCTTCAGAAGTGATTAAGAGAGGATGTGGGTCAATCCATTGTCCCTTTGCGGGCTCCAAACCACTGCTTGGGCAAAGCTGACTCTGCTGGTTCCCAGAGTTCTAAAACCTGCCAGAGACCGCTGATTTACAGTCTTGTCACTGGGAGCATCTGTATGGAGCACTGTGGGCGATCCCAAGTCCTCACCTTTATCCAGGGACGAATTTCAAGGCACCAATCCATTCATCGGTGCCTCGTTCTGCTGCAGTTGTCAGCTCCGCTAAAAGCGAAGCTGTTTTTAGTCTGCCATTGCTTCTCCCAGACACAACCACCTTCTCAACCATCTTTCTCAAAAACGGAAGGCAGTATATCAGGTGAAGCTTATTTTAAAAAATGAGGTCACATGAAGGCTTCTTTGTATTATGAATTTACATTCAAACAAGAAGTCAAGACCTTTTTGTATATTTTTCTGAAACAGCTATAGATGGATCTAGAAACAGGTTTCTTTCTCAGTCCTGATCTTTTACGTTGCAAGGTACTATATATTCTAGTATATCTGCCTCCTTCACAAATGTAGTTCGTGTTTACTTTGCTCTTTAAACATAGGTAACTTTTCTACCCGAGTCTAAAATAATAACATTAAATTGGCTCAGTCTTTCTAGGATGTCAGCAGACACGGCTGAGATATTTCCACAGCTGCAACCATGACGGAATATAAATACTTTTGAAATAAAAGCAGCTTTTCTTAATATGGAAATGCCTGGGCACAGGGCCTACTGTGTATAATTGCTATTATTTTCTTGTGGCTAACAGTGTATATCAGAGAAAAGAAGACTTTAGACTAGCAAAATTACTTTTATATTTATTAGAATAGTGAAATCAGTTATGTGGGCCAAAGGCAAAATTCTAACTCAGTAATCCACTTTCTACTGAGTCTCATTTAATTTTGAGACACAAATATGGATTCAGTGTGTACAACCATGTAACATTTCTGTTTGGGTTTTGCAATTTCAGATTGGAGAATTATTGAGCACTACTCACCCTGCTAACAAAGCCAGCTTAACTCTTTTCTGTCCTGAGGAAGGGGACTGGAAGAATTCAAACCTTGACAGACACAACCTTCAAGATTTCATCAACATTAAGCTGAACTCTTCTCCTATTTTGCCTGAAATGGAAGGGCTTTCTGAATTCACAGAATACTTGTCAGAGTCAGTGGAAGTACCATCACCATTTGATATTTTGGAGCCACCAACATCAGGAGGTTTTCTGAAACTTTCTAAGCCTTGTTGTTATATTTTCCCTGGTGGAAGAGGAGATTCAGCATTGTTTGCAGTGAATGGATTCAACATGCTTATCAATGGAGGTTCAGAGAGGAAATCTTGTTTCTGGAAACTCATCCGACATTTGGACAGAGTGGATTCAATTTTGCTGACTCACATTGGAGATGATAATTTGCCAGGAATTAACAGCATGCTACAACGGAAAATAGCAGAATTAGAAGAGGAGCAGTCTCAAGGCTCTACCACCAACAGTGACTGGATGAAAAATCTAATTTCTCCTGATTTGGGAGTTGTATTTCTTAATGTTCCTGAAAGCCTAGGAAATCCTGATCCTAATGTGCAGTTAAAAAGAAGTGTAGAGGAGGCTTGTTTTACATTGCAATACTTAAACAAGCTATCCATGAAACCAGAACCTCTCTTTAGAAATGTAGGAAACAACACTGAGCCCATTATCCTTTTTCAAAAAATGGGTGTAGGGAAACTGGAAATGTATGTGCTTAATCCAGTCAAAAGCAGCAAAGAGATGCAGTATTTCATGCATCAGTGGACAGGTACAAACAAAGATAAAACTGAACTGGTGCTACCAAATGGTCAAGAAATAGACATCCCAGTTTCCTACTTGACTTCAATCTCCTCTTTGATTGTATGGCATCCTGCAAACCCTGCTGAAAAAATTATCAGAGTTCTTTTCCCAGGGAACAGTACCCAGTATAGCATATTAGATGGCCTAGAGAAACTCAAACATTTGGACTTCCTTAAACAACCAACAGTGACACAAAAAGACTTAACTGGTAATCTGGCAAGTCCAGCAGTAAAACAAGCAAAACTGAAGCAGAGAACAGATAGTAAAGAAAGTCTCAAGCCAGTCACTAAAACGCTGTCTACAAAGACTGTCAGAAAAGAGTCGCGAGAGGAGACATCTGATGCAGGGAAATCTAGCCCACCAGAAAAGGCTCAAAAAGTAGAAAATAAACCCATCATAAAAAAAGATAAACCAGCAAAAAGTGAGAGTAGGCTCTCTGTGACTGAAAAAGACCTGACAGCAAAGGAACAGCAGCTTGTGAAATCTGAAACTGCTGAAAAACAAGCAACTGATGTGAAACCAAAAGTAATAAAGGAGAAGCAGGTGAAAAAGGAAGTGAAAGTAAAACCTGAAGAAAAACAAGAAGAGAAAGAAAAGTCAAAGAAAGAGGTGCCTAAGAAGGATGAAAAATCCCAGGCCAAGAAAGAAGAAAAGCCTAAAAAGGATGATTCCAAGAAAGAAGTAAAGAAAGAATCTAAAAAAGAGCCAAAGAAAGAAGCTCTTCCAAAAGAATCCAAAAAAGAAGAGAAAAAGGAAGTGAAAAGGGAAGAAAAGAAAGAGCCCAAGAAACTTCCTAAGGAAATAAAGAAAACCTCTGCTGTTTTGCCTGAATCAAAGAAGGTTACAGCAAAGCCGAAACCACAGAAGAAGGAAGAACCTGTCAAAAAAGAAACTGGGCTTGCTGGGAAACCCAAAGAAAAAGTTAAAAGCAAGTCACTGAAGAAAGAGCTCAAAGTGGCCGAAACCCCAGCTGCAGCAGTGACAGCTTTGGGAGCTGGGGCTGCAACAGTAGCAGCTGCAGGCCTGGCAGCCAGTGGGAAAGAACTTGAAGTTGAGAGATCGCTTATGTCCTCACCAGAAGACTTAACAAAAGATTTTGAAGAACTAAAAGCAGAAGAAGTTGAAGTAGTGAAGGAAATAAAGCTTCAGGAAGATAAAGTTGAAAATGAAAGCCAGCCAGCTGTCATAGAACAAGAGGAGGGTTACAAAGTTCAAAAAGAAGAAATAGGCCCTGCTTATTCTCCTGATGAAGACATAACCGCCACAGAACCTGAGGGAGAATGTGAACAAACTCCTGAAGAGCTGGAGTCTGTGGGAAAGGACAGGGTTGATGACAGTGAAAAGTTTGAAGAGGAAGGAGCAGGATTTGAAGAATCTTCTGAGGCAGGTGACTATGAAGAAAAGGCTGAGACAGAGGAGGCAGAAATACAAGGGGACAATGAGGAAGAAGAGCTACCACCAGATTTCAAAAAGCAAGACATAAAAGATATCATTGAAACAGGAGAGATTGAAAAAGAAATGATAGAAGCTCCTGAATATGAAAAAATGAAAGGGTTAATGTATGATAAACAAGCAGAATTTAGAGTGGAGTATGAAGAGCACTATGAAGAAAATGTAGAAGAAACAACAGTTGAAAAGGCAGAAACAGAAGAGACTGAAGAAGTTGAGGAAGAAGACAAAACTGAGGAGGTCAAAGATGAAGAAGAAACTGAAAAAATAGAAGTGGAAGAGGATTATGTCATGGCTGTGGTAGACAAAGCAGCTGAAGCTGCTGAAATTGATGATAAATACGGTTTGCGTATAACTACTCCAACTAAATTGTCAGAATCTCCATCTCCAGCAAAGGAACCAGCATCTTCAATCCATGATGAAACTCTACCTGGTGGGTCAGAAAGTGAAGCAACTGTTTCAGATGAAGAAAACAGGGAAGACCAACCTGAGGAATTCACTGCTACTTCAGGTTATACTCAGTCCACTATTGAAATATCCAGTGAACCAACTCCAATGGATGGAATGTCAACCCCAAGAGATGTAATGAGTGATGAAACAAATAATGAAGAAAGTGAATCGCCTTCCCAAGAGTATGTTAACATTACTAAGTATGAGTCAACACTATATTCTCAAGATTTTGCTAGACCTAAAGTTTCTCCTCTTCCTGATGCTTTTAATGGGTTATCCGAAGGATCTAAAACAGATGCTACTGAAGGCAAAGACTATAGTGTTTCAGCTTCTACCATTTCACCACCTTCTTCGCTAGAAGAAGATAAGTTTAACAAATCTTCCTTCCAGGACCTGTATCGTCTTCGGGAAAATGAATTCAAAACTATTAATAAATTAGAAATTTCAGAAACTTGGGATGAGAAGCTTAGCCCAACTATAGATGAAAGTCCAGCCCCACTATCGCCAGTCACTAAAACTCCTCTTAGTGAACGTAGTGTGAACTTTTCCCTAACTCCCAATGAGATTAAAACATCAACTGAACCTGTAGCTCTCACAACATTGGCAGAAAAACAACATGATATCCAGGAAGAGCAGTGCCCCAGCCCTGATGATAAAACATTAGAAGTGGTATCCCCTTCACAATCAGCTGCTGGAAGTGCTGGTCATACACCTTACTATCAGTCTCCCACTGATGAAAAGTCAAACCAAATTCCAGCTGAGATTCCTGGAAAGACAACTGAAGTACCAATCAGTTTTGAAGTTAGTGATGCCAAAGACAATATTGCAAAACACAGAATAAGCCCAATGGATGAACCAGTGCCTGACTCTGAATCGCCTTTTGAGAAAGTGCTCTCACCTTTACGAAGTCCACCACTTATAGGTACAGAGTCTTCCTATGACACGTTTTTGAGTGCTGATATAAAATCTGTCAGAGAAACTGAAGTTACCTTTGAAAAGAAAAGTGAAACAGATGGGTCCATGTTGCAGAAGAGCTCAGTTTCTGAACTTACTTCTACAAACATTTTCCAAGAACAACAGGATGAAAAAGATGTGGAGCTGACACCTCCAAAGTCAGACATTCTTCTAGAAAAGAAAAAGGATGATTTAGAAACTTCAGAAATTCAGTCTGCATTAGTTTTGGATGAGAGGAAGCTAGCAGAGGTTTCTCCAACTCAGGTAGATATTAGTCATTTAGGCTATTTCAAGGAGGACACCAAAATGTCAATATCTGAAAGTACAGTCTCTGATAAATCTGCAACTCCTGTTGATGAAGTTGTAGCAGAAGATACTTATTCACATATTGAAGGAGTTGCATCTGTTTCTACAGCATCTGTTGCTACTAGTTCATTCCCAGAACCAACCACTGATGATGTATCTCCTTCACTGCATGCTGAGGTTGGATCTCCTCACTCTACTGAAGTTGATGATTCTCTTTCTGTGTCTGTTGTACAAACACCAACTACATTTCAGGAAACAGAAATGTCTCCATCTAAAGAAGAGTGCCCAAGACCAATGTCTATTTCTCCACCAGATTTTTCCCCTAAAACAGCAAAATCAAGGACACCAATACTAGATCATAGGTCTCCTGAACAATCAACTATGTCAGTAGAATTTGGACAAGATTCACCTGAACAGTCCTTGGCCATGGATTTTAGCAGACAGTCTCCTGAACAACCTATAGTAGGTGCTGCTGTGCACCATATATCTGAAAATGGTCCAACAGAAGTTGATTTTAGCCCTTCAGATATGCAAGAACATGGATTTCCAAACAAAATATCGCCAGTGGAACAAACATGTTATGGCCATGAGAAGGATATTTCAGAGATTATTTCAGTTTCTCAGATAGAGGCCTCACCTTCACCTTCCTCTTCCTCTGTTCATACACCATCACAGGCAAGTTCTCCCCTACAAGAAGAAATTCTATCAGGTGTTACACAGCCTAGTGATATGCCGATACATTCTACATTTCCATCAGAAAAAATGCAAAGCTTGGGGGAGAAACTCTCACCAAAGTCTGATTTATCTTCATTAACACCCCGGGAATCTTCTCCTTTATATTCACCTAGTTTTTCAGATTCACCTCCCATAATGAAAGAAACAATGGCTGCTTCTCAGTCATCTCTATTATCACTGCATGTATCCCCAGACAAATTGTTTGGCTATCATACATCAATAGTTCAAGACCCTGAGACAAAACATGGTCAAGAGCTTCTAGTCTCTAAGGATCAGAAAGATACAGAAGAAGCAGCCATATCACCAGAAACTCTTATTTACTCTTATAAGGAAACTGGAAAAAGCACTAGATCACCCGAGGCTGTTAGTTACTCCTATGAAAAAACAGAGGAAGTCACTGAATCCCCTGAAACCCTTGATTACAACTATGCTGCAACAAAGGAAATCACCAGATCGCTAGAGGCAGATAGTTATTCCTATGAAATAACAGAAAAAACCACCAAGTCACCAGAAGCCCTTGATTATTCTTATGAGAAATCCGCCAAACCATCAGAGTCTGTCCATTATCCTTATGAATCCACAGAGAAAGCCACCAAATCACCTGACATATCAAGTTATCACTATGAGAATGATAAATATTTTGTTTCAGAAAAATCTGAAATCCGTCAAGATGTTGATTTATGTCTTGTCTCATCCTGTGAATACAAGCATCCCAAAACAGAACTGTCACCTTCTTTTATAAATCCTAACCCCTTAGAATGGTTTGCAAATGAAGAACAATCTCAAGACCAAGAAAAGCTGTTAATTCAGTCAGGAGGTGCTCCACCACCCTCTGGAGGAAAACAGCAAGCCCGCCTGTGTGGTGAAACTCCCCCTACTTCTGTAAGTGAATCTGTTCCATCACAGACCGACTCAGATGTACCCCCTGAAACAGAAGAGTGTCCTTCTATTACAGCAGATGCTAACATTGATTCAGAAGATGAATCTGAAACTATACCAACAGATAAAACAATTACATATGAACACATTGACCCTCCCCCAGCCCCTGTTCAAGATCGCAGCCCTTCACCTAGGCACCCAGATGTCTCCATGGTAGATCCAGAGACATTACCCATTGACCAGAACCTAGGCAAGCCTTTGAAGAAGGATCTGAAAGAAAAGACAAAAACAAAAAAGCAGGGGACTAAGACTAAATCTTCCTCTCCTGCCAAGAAGAATGATGGCAAACCCAAGCAGGTGGCTTCTCCAAAGCCTGCTGGCTTGAAGGAATCATTGGATAAAGTTTCAAAAACAGCTTCTCCAAAGAAGAAGGAGTCTGTGGAGAAAGCTGCCAAAAATGTCTCTACTCCAGAGGTAAAATCTCATAATGAAGAGAAAGATAAGGAAACTAAGAATGCAGCCAATTCTACAACATCAAAGTCAGCAAAAACTACAACTTCAGGTGAGAATAAATTATAAAGTTAATCTCATATATCAGCCTTCTTCAGCCTATTGTCTTCCAAATGTACCAGATTGCAGCACTCAAAATTCTCAGGCTTCATTGACGGTGCTGGTGGCTAAGAGTTCTGAAAGTTGTAATCCCAATACAACTGGATTAACTAAATTACTAAAGAAAATGTAGAGATTTTTTTGTAGCTGCACTTAAACCTGCCTGCTCTAAACAGCTATTATTTTACATGAGGACTATTAAAATACCTTAAATCAAGTCAGTTCATTTCAGACTTGTTGACCTGCATGATTTTAATATGATTCAACTTGATAGAATGACATGTTTTTAATGAAACGTTTATGTTTGTAGTGTTTCACTGTGCATGGCAAAACAAAATTCCCACAGTAAACATTTTAGCATGTGGACAATATATTAGCATTTTTAAGGATCAATGAGTATATATTCCAGTCCACTTCAATTTAAAGTCTGCAGTTAGAATGCAGAAAAATATTATTGCTGTGATTTTTCATGAAATCTTTTCAAGAGCGAGGGAAAGCAAAAAAAGCAAAAACAACCCCAAACAAACCCCTAATTCCATTTTCTCGTGAACATTATTGCTAGTTTGAAAGAAAAAAAAGGGAAGGCTACCAAGATCAAGAAGGCTCCCTGCTCACATCAAGATAACTGTATAATGCAGAGTTCTTTCACGCATTAAAGAAAGGACTAGAAAGTCAGGATGCACTTTAGAACTTAAACATTAAGATCATTTTACACACCACAGAAACATACAGTAAGCTGCCCAGAGTTGCTGAGAGTTGGGCAGCATGCAAGTTTAATGTATTATTATTATAATCATTAATATTCTTAGGTATAAAAAAAGGGCATCAAAGTATATCAAATGGCTGATATATTATTGCTTGTTGGAAAAATTGTGTTTCAAATTGGGATTAGATGATATATAAATAAACATATTCTGTTGTTACAGGAAACATTTATGGAAAGATCTTTCTGAACTTTGCCTAGCACAGCAGAAGTAAATAAAAAACCAAAGAGCTGGGCGTGTGATAGCTATTCAAATTGATGTGCCCTACTCTTTAACTGGTCACTTCAAGATGTGTTGTACTTTAAGTTACGGAATTTGAAGTACCAATAGAAGAGAATATATGTAGCTCAGGGTTGAACTGTCGAGTCCTTGGGGTTCTCTGAGCTTGGTTGTTTTCTTGCAAATGTTTCGGGTAACCTAGCCAGGTAAACCTAGCTGGGCAATGAAACGTTTGCAAGAAAACAACCAAGCTCAGAAACCCCAAGGACTCCACAGAATTTGAAGTTAACACAGCAGATAACTACAGGTTATCGTTACCATCAGCATTTGAGAAAGCAAATGAAAAATTGCTACATTAAGAAGTGATAATATTTTGGTCAGTGGCTGCTAGACAATTTAAAACCTGTGTCTGGAAGTCAGGAAATAATTTATTGTCAATCTGGATTCAACAACATTGGTAAATAGCCTTAATGGATAAAGTGATGGGGACAATGGAGAGAACAGCTAGTATTTATAGTTGAAGATGATTTTCTTACAGTTTGGTATAGCTTTACTGAGTATGTAGAAGGAGCGTACTGCTCCTAATACACATGGCAATCTATGGTCAGATACTTAGTTTAAAAACAACCACTGAGTATTGTATTACTCTGTACTAATTAAAGTGTCTCATTGTTCTAGTGTTTAAAATTAAAGTAAAAAAAAAAAAGTTAACATATCTGGATGCTGCTGAGCTGGGGAAGGCTACTGATGCATGTGGTTC